CCGGTGGCGGAAAAGACAGTCATATGCACATATAATAAACAACGATATATATATATATATATATATATATATATATATATATATATGCCACCATAGCCTGATAGCTTACCTACTCAACAAATAAAACCCATCATATGGAGTTGTCTTGTTGCAAAAAAATCCTACGTGCATAAAAATAGTAATACACTATGCGAGCATCCATAAAGCCCAATCAAGCAGCCTATCTGTCGATCTGTAGTCACCGAAATTGTGTACATCGGAGTAAATTTAAAAATCAAGCAATATATCACCAGGTCGGATTCGGAGGCGACTTGAAGCTGGACTGTGCTATGAAGTCAGAGATTGGGAATAAACCCCATGTGCTGAGTCGGAGTCCGGACAGGCTCCGCTGAAGGCGAATCAGTCACATGCCTGCCGTGCAGAGCACCACATGGTGGCATGACATGTCATGGCTCATGCACTTGAGTATGTAGACGCACAACACAATGTCCCCGCAGACGAAGCGCCCACGAGCCATTCCACGCGCGTGATCTTGCGGATGCTGGCGGCCGCAGGCGAGTTGGCAAGCGGCGTCCCATGCTAACCGTGTCCGACGTGTGTTGGCGGGCGAAGCGCCCGTCTTACCTACTCAGCATCTGTTTACTGCCAGGCGGAAGCCATGTGCGCGCGTGCCGACATGTGTTGACAGGGTTGGAAAACACCTGTCCGGCAGTCCCAAACACTAGCAGTCGCGTAATTGGACGCGAGGGACCGACCAGCACAGTGCGGCCAGCGCCGCGTGGAGCGTCGCCACCGTCTCCGCTGGTGCGGAGGATGCCGACAAAACACGGCCGGTGTTTCGGGAGTCCTGGCTTACGTTAAATAAACGTCTGGTCGTGATGGTTCCAGATGGCTTTGAGAGGGTTTCCTTGTGTGCTGTTGAATCACTGGGCGCTTCCACAGAACGGCGGTGCGGTGTTTGCCTGAAGGCGGGTCATTCGCCCTCGCTAAGCAAATGGTTGTAGAAACCTTAGGAGTCCTACGAATGTAGCCTTTGTTATAAAGCTAGTGGTGTTTATGAGATGAATCAGAATATGGCTATTCTTCATCAGAACATCCGAAAATGAATTACCATTCATCATACCATATACAAGGCCGCTGTGCAGACCGCCATGCATATACCTTTTTGCTTTTGTACAATTGCGTGTCACAAATCTCGACGCAGCAGCGTAATGAAAAGAATGTCAGCAAAATAGCGACAAAATGGTTTTGTTAGCCGTTTCCATTCGAGCGTGATGACAAATCAAAACTCGCTCAAAGACACAAAGCCACCGAATTTCAGACGTTGAGACAGAACGCAGTCGTAGCACAGTTTCCGGGAATTGAAGATTAGTACGGTTTAAAACTATTCCAATCCATTTGAATCTTGTGAATTTGAAGCCTTAGCCTTTGTTAGCAGACCATCTGTCTGCACGACAGCCATTTTACTCGGGTAAGCTTTGCTGAAAACACACCATATTATCTGTGATCTATGGAAGTGAAGTTGCAGTAAAGTAGGCGGTTAGTTCCATTCGTTTAGCTATTCACCTGGTTTTAAGATGAGCAAAACAAACACAGTTTTAACGCAGTGGGGGACACATCTAAAACGCTCGAGCATGGTAGAGGCCACCGAGGTCAGCGGTAGCGGGACCTATGTCACGAAGTTCAGGGGACGACTGAGGAAGAGGACCCGGGAGCGGGAGAACCGCGTGGAGCTCGCGCACGGCGGACGGCGTGGCACTCCGCGCACCGGACCGGGGGTGCTCCCCTGCCACGGAACGGGAAAGCGACGGGAGCAGATCGGTGGGGTCGATCGGCGTGTCCTCGTTTTGGCTGCTCCCGCTGGCCGTGTTGAAACGCCTCGGGGCTATCGAGTAGCCGCGGTGGTCTTTGATGTCGGCGGCTGAAGTCGCGATGGGCGAGGATGAGGTGGCCCTTGACGTGGGTTCTGAGAACTGAAGCCGGTGATCGGCAACATTTGGTATTCGAATCTGGAAAAGGTGTATTCGGATTCGGATTTCAGATCGGAGTGTAGTCGAACATTTGCATTGAAATGTCAAATTGATGTATCGCAATGAGAGGCAGGACAGGTGAATCAGACCGACTTAAAACCAACATATACGTGATGCATTAGTTTATATGAAAGAAACCCACATCCACTATATATATATATATATATATATATATATATATATATATATATATATATATGTATATATATATGTGTGTGTGTGTGTGTGTGTGTGTGTGTGTGTGTGTGTGTGTGTGTGTGTGTGTGTGTATAAACAGATATATGTATTAATTACATTTTGTTGCATACTGAAATCATAGCTTTCACGATTCGGCGTGGATTTTAGGATTTCATTCCGATCTATTATCAAATCCTCGTTCTCAGGATCGCAGGATTCCCAAAATTCGAATCCGTGGAATCTATTCGAATCTCGCCTATCCGAATCCTCATCTCTCCTACTAAGCTTGTCCCTGGTAGGGTCGTACCCCATCCGAGACGTCGGCCAGCTGGCCCGGGCTGCGTCCTTGCTTCGCGAGAGGCTCTCGCTCGTCAACTCCCGAATCTTTTGATTGTGCAGAACCGCGTGCACTACACATGCGCCAATTCGCATAAGATAATTGGCAGCTCGCTGCAGACATCAAGGTAAGTAGCTCTCGGTTGTGACAAAACTTTCCAGAACTTTTTCAGAACTTTCAGATTTCCGGACTTAAAGATGTGCTTGAAAAAACTTATGAACTCATGCGATCGAGAAGTTATTCAAGAATTATGAGTGGTTTCACGGTAAGGGTAATAGCGGAATCTACCGAAGCAAACACAAATTTCAACAGCCAACGATGACGTAAATGTGCACATCGGGGTCAGTGAACATGAAAGACTCGGGTATGGGCATTCTAAACCATCCGACCTTCTCGTTTCGGGTTGTCTCCTTTATCCGACATGACGCGACATTTTGATATTGTCGGGCCCGTTCGAATCCTGCGAGTAATCACGCGTATCCTGCTCAAACGCATGCACCGGTACACTCACGGAATGCACTGGCAGCGTCCTGCCCAGCTCGCCACCTAGGGCATGCGCTGCGGGAAGCCCTCCCCCCCCCCTCCCCCCCTCCGTCCTCCGTCGGCGAGACCCTCTCCTGTTTTTGTCGCCGACACGTGAGCAGGGTGCCTGCCGTGACCCCGCCTCTGCCGGCCGGCCGCCTCTCGCCTGCGGTAGGTCACGCGGCCGGTTCGACCCGGGCGTGGGTGACGGGTCACACCAGGTCTGTCCACTCGCCCGTGGCCGGCCCGGGACTGCTCGTGAGCTGCCGTGTTCGCCGGCGTGGACGCCACGTGGACTGCACGCAAAGCAGGACTAGACGATTAGCCTGAGCTGCCAACTCCGCTTTCAACACCGGCAACTTTGGACATTGGCTTACGAACCTAGGCATTAGTACTCGCGCCAATGGGCCGAAAGCACCCCTTCATCCATTGGGAATGGGAAGTGGGTCAGATACTGCCCCCCCCCCCCCCCTTCAGAGGTCTCTCTCAGTCTTGCATATGTCTCGTGGAACCCGACGCTTAGTTCCGGGCGGTTAATCAGACAAAAAGTTACCATTAGTAGGTAAGTTCCCTTTCGAGTGATGTAAATTACGGGTAGTTACGTCACTAGAGCGTCATTTTCTCTGGACTTTTGGAGTAAGATGGTTTTTAGCAGAGTTGCAAGTTTGGTCTCAACGCCTGCATTTCTTTTTGACCAAAACAAATATTCCGTGGGCAGATGCCCCTGCCCTTTTATAGATGGCACCGCATTAAGACAACGCTTTCCAGCGATTTTTCCCCACAATTTATGGGATTACAGGCTCTGTTTTCTTCCATCATGTGTCGCGCTTTGGCATTGTAGTGAATTAGATGTGCAGGCATGATGGTACGAATAGTAAGAGCAAACTTATATCAAGTTTACCTCTTCATCCGCATTATGTTCTTCTTCACTGGAGGAGCATCTGTCGATGTTGAAACGACTATTACCATCTCTCACCTGCAAGATGCTTGCATACACGAGCTCAGGTGATTCTGATTGCTTTCCAACGCGGCCTGCACTGCAGACTTTCACTTCCCGGCGTCTGTGCTCAAGTGCAGCGCGCCAGTGCAGGAGCCAGGTGTCCATGACTTGCAAGCAGCGCAGGCTTGTGGCACAGCTGTAGCTCGGCTGGTAGCTCGGGACGAGGCAAGATGGCATTCTGCAGTTGACGTGCAGTGGCGGCGGTTTCAGGATGTGATGCGTTTCCATAGTGATGCCACAAACACATGCCCAAGTCCACTTCTCCCACCGCACTGTTGACTAGTGTGCACTACATGAAAAGGGGAGATCATTTGTTGAGCGTAAGGTTGTGCGTAGGGGTGCCGGCAAGCACAGGTATCGCCGCATATTCAGGACCATTGACCGCGAAACCGCAGGTCAATTCGCTGCGTAGATGGTGGTGGGGCGGTCAAGTTTGGCATGCAACAGCTGCCGCGTTTTTGTGCGCCAGCATTCAGAGCCATGTTTTGCACTGCTTTTTACCCCGCGTTAGATTAGTCCCTGCATGAGCTCCAAGCCGCACGTGGTCACCAACAGCGACTAATGCCACCACATGACACCAACCGTGGCCCTCCCATCCACCGCCGGGGCGCGCCGGTCGTCGCGGCAGCGGTGACGTCACCGGTGCCGTTCTGCGCGAGAGATCGGACGGTGATTGGGGGCCGGCGGTGCGGCGCCGTTTAACCCGCGAATCGGAGCGTGCCGACGCGGGCGGCAGTGCTCGAGCGTCGCCGCTGACCGCCGCCGTGCCCGCAGGTCCAGCGTCGGCGCCGGCGCCCCGCCCCGCCCATCATCGCCGCAATCTAGGCCATCGACGACGGCGGCGCCCGCCAGGTGAGTGGCGCGCCAAAACCACGCCGAGAGCGCGCGCCCGCGCGGCGCGCGCCAGTGGCGCGACAGTCGCGCCGCGCGCCGCATGGTGACCCGGTTCCGAGTGGTGTTTGTTGCCGGGCGTCTGGGCGGCGAGGCTGTGGCCGGCTGGTGCGCCGTGTTTGGCTAGTGACTTGGCGACGGTGGGCCTCGTGTGTCGCGCAGCACGCCAGATCCGGGTCACGCGTGGCCCACCGGCTGCGTCTCGGCCGGACGGAGACGTCCCTCGACCGGATCGGGTCGCCGCCTCTGCGAGCCCCACACAACGCACGCCACCCGGTCGTACAGCGTCTGACCACGTCCCCGGCGCAGACCGGCAGCCGACCAGTGCTAGCACGGGACCGTGCGTGCGGCCCCGCGGTGCGACTCGCTCCTCCGCGCCGGTGGTGTCGACGCTGCCAGCGCGCTGCGGCCGGCTAGCAGCCTGCTGTCGCCGACGGCGGCGATGGCCGGCAGCCCGCTGCGCCTGCTGCGCTGGCTGCTGCTGGGCGTCACCTGCTGCGGCCCGCCGCCGGCCGGCGCCGAGCTCTTCCTCATGGGGTACCTGACAGGGTCGCAGCGGTCGCCCGGCGACCAGGAGTACACGCGGCCCGGCCGCGCCATCTCTGGCGCCATGAACCTGGCGCTGCACGAGATCCGGCAGCAGCGGCCCCTCGTGCACGGTGAGTGCTCGCCGCCGCGGCTGATGCTGATATTGCTGATGCGAGTGCTAACGATGATACTGATGCTGATGATAGTGCTGATTCTGATACCGATGCTGATGCTGCAGCTACTGCTGCTGCTGATGATGATGCTGATACTGATAATGATGCTGCTGTGATGAGCAATGTAACCAAGGGGATAGTCACTGAGGTAAAGCTCCCCCGCCCCCCCCCCCCTCCTTCCCTGAGCCAATAAAATAACATTGGATACCAGACATAAAAATCCACAGCATGTCGAAGAGAATGTGACACTTGGCCCCATTCCTCAAGAATCTTTTGACCGCGCTTCTGGTTGTGGTGCTTACTGCTATGATCCTCGCAGACGATACCTCTTCTGATGCAGTACTTACTGGCGCGAACGAAGGCACCAGTCCAATGCTACGGATCAGATGCTTAGACTTAGAAACTTTAGACTTGTTCTATCACCTGTCTCATTATTGCGCTCCTTCGTCCTTGAGTTCTCATTGTCGGGCCTGATGAATGGGGAATTTCCCGAAATCGAGCTGGTGTTGGCCCGCCAGCCATTTCCCTGTCCCTTGCACCAGACGTCGACTACTTTGCACCTCCCCGCAGCATCACGTGGAATGTTTGGCTCAGCTTCTCAGTGTGGGCGTGGAAAAGACCCAAAGCCTGCAGAGCTTCTCATTGTGAGCGTGGAAAAGACCCAAAGCCTGCAGAGCTTCTCAGTGTGAGCGTGGAAAAGTCCCGAAGCCTGCAGAGCTTCTCAGTGTGAGCGTGGAAAAGACCCGAAGCCTGCAGAGCTTCTCTGTGTGAGCGTGGAAAAGACCCAAAGTCTGCAGAAAGCAACACAAAAGCTTCCGCTTATTCCCATTTGAAAACTTTTTCTGCGGCAGAACTGATCTCGCAAAACTCAAATTTGCACCTCTTTAAAAATAATTGCATATGGCATGTACCCGCGCTAAACAAGGCCCCTGTGAGGGTTTGCGACGGCATTATCGGGGTGCTCAGATTCGAAAGGCGCTGTACTGTACGGTACCAAACCTCCACCCAGGCTGGACCACCCCGGATTGTTGCTAATTTTCCCGGGATTTGAGCGGGACGGAGTGAGGATGGGCCCTCTCGTGCCGCACCGTGTAAAGACGGCGCTGCCCCGCGCGAGCACGTGGTGCTCAGAGTTGGGGCATGATCGGCTGTTCCCGCTTGGATCATGTACCCACATTCCGCGGACGAGATTCGTGAGGGTCGTTGGCCTAGCATTTTGACATGCCCATTGCTGGTCGCAGAAACTTTCGCTGCTACAGACGTAACCTTCCGCAAACGCATCCTCATGCAAAATCTTATAGCCTGCAATGGTCGTCATTGGCCGAAAGTGCGCCTTTCCCAGCCAACGGAAAACGTGCGAGGCATCAGCTGCCTGCATTAACGCGGCGTATGTCGAGAGCCGTGATTATTCGGCGATATTTGCTCACATACTGCTCTTTAAGCTCACGCCGTCGCCTGCCCCGTAAATTGTGTTAACAGACTGCCGGCGTCTGTGCAGTTTTCTCGCGCCGCTACGAGCGGGCTTTCCTCGCTATTTATAAAAACGCCCGGTAGAATAGTACCCGGTCGTCACCTGCAGCTCATTGGCGCTTATTCGCCCTGTGTCGGCGACGTTGGAGTGCAGTAAGCCAGTCCTTACGGTGTGTATCGCTGTTGACAAGGCACATAGCGTGCGTCCTGCCCGGCGCCGTTTGTGGAGTGCTGTGGCGCGTGCGCACCAGCCAATGAGCGCCTGCGGTTTCGTCGGCCAGCGGACGGTTCATTTGAAGCATTGAGCGACTGAGGTTGAAAATGGAGCATGTGTGGGTGAAGACTGTTACATCGCATTATTTAACTGGCTTAGCTGGGCTGTCGGATTTGCCGCCCTCTCGCATGTAGCGGGAAGCCAAAATAGGTTGTTCGCCATTTAAATTATTCGAGATGCATTTCGGTTCTCCCGCGTGGTTGCTACATGCTGTCGTCAGTAGTCCATGCAATTATCTTGATGATACCGATATGCCATTTGACCCCACATTCAGAACAGGGAAGATGCATCCTTACGGGGCTATTTGCATGCAGGACAAAAAATAACAACACATAACACACACATATAACGAGCTTCGTGCCTCCGCACCTGCATACTGATCGAGGCTCAGGCCCGCCCGCATCCCTGCGACCGATTTCAATGGATGACGCAATGTTTTTGGCGACCTTGACCCTCGTGAACTGTCCTTGACCTGATGGCCCGACACGGATTGACTATCGGCCGTATCCACTTTTCTGTGCCAGTGGCGGCTGGGGATTATTGTCGGCGGAGCAACTGCGGCGACAGGCTGCTAAATTCGCCGGTCTCTGTGGCGACAGGCTGCTAAATTCGCCGGTCTCTGCGGCGACAGGCTGCTAAATTCGCCGGTCTCTGCGGCAGCAGCAGGCTGCTAAATTCGCCGATCTCTGCTGCCTAGGACACAACGGTCAGCAACAGTCGACACCACAGCCACGCTTCTTAGCGACTCTAGGAATATCGCGCCTCAAAATCTCACCGCGCAAGCGCAAACGGACGTGCCAGAAATAGCCCAGAGTCACTTTAATTGTCATCTGCAGTCAGTCAAGCTGCTCATCAATAGAATGTGCCGATGAAACTAAAATTCGTCGCTTATGGTTCCCATACTCTTACAGCTCAGCTCACAAGAGCGGAGGTCCAAAGCTTTCTTGTTACGAAGGTACGTTTGGTATAGGACAGCTCATCAAAGTTTCGTCGGAATATCACCCGGGGGAAGGAGAGCATAGGTAGACAAGCGTTGAGGCGATGGCTCCATTGGCAATGAGAAGGGAGGGAGACAAGTGTCTTGATGATGACTGTGGGCGGTGAGAATGGAGGGACACAAGAGTGGTGACGATGACTTCGCGGGGAGTGAGCAGGGGCGTGAAGAGAACTCCCTGAAGAGGAAGAATGAGAGAAGTGATGTGGTGGTGACTCAGTGGGTAAAAGTTAGACGAGGGAAGTGACGTGGGCTCCTTAGTGACAAGTAATACAAGGGAAGTGACGAGGACTCAATGAGGGGGGGGGGGGGGTGAAGGTAGACAGGTAAGATGACAATAAGCTCCATGGAGGAGGCAGGCGAAGGCACTATCATCACTTCTCTCGAAATACCGTTTCAGCAAAGCACAAACCGAACCATGTTTGGACGCTGACATCTGCCTTACAGCTGCATTCATACCACGCGCAGCCGCGACATAAGAAAGCCCCGCTCCGTGTTGGCCCAGCACGTGCGCGCTGGCGTGTTTGACCGTAATGGACCGTTTATCGAGCGCTCCTGGCCAGGCCCGCCGCGCAGCGTTTGCTCAGCAATCAGCAGGCTCTGTTATCAGGTTTTCGTGCCGTCCTTCTCGGTGACGACTGTTGTGGCCGCCCGGCGGTCGTGAGCATGCATCTGTGTGCGAGGATTCGTGCTCATTGGGTCCCAGGATCTGTGCCCACTGGATCCGAGGATCCGTGTTAGTTAGATCCGAGGATCTGTGCTTGTTGGATCCGAGAACGTTTGTTCACTGAATCCGAGCATCTGTGTTCATTGGATCCGAAGATCTGCGTTCGTTGGAACCGAAGATCCGTGTTCGACGCATTACTGTTGGTTTATTTCAGAACACACGCTGCGATGAGTCGCACCAATCAGTTCTTCTGAGCGGAACTCGGTTTCACGGATGTAGTGCGTCCAGTCGAGTCCGCCTTTTGTCGTGATGGTTCAGACGTCTCGGGCGGCCGGGGCCAGTAGCGCCGCGGGCGTACGCGACCGTGTCCTTCGGGCCCTCACGTGCGGGGCCTCTAGTGTCGGTGGGTTCGTCGCGGCACTTCAACCCGTGGCTCAACTGTCGGCCTCAGTCGAGTGCAGGTCCTGTCAGGAGCGATGGCACGTTCCAAAACGCAGGTCGGAGGCATTTTTCCTACGCATTACCATGATTACACGGTTAATGAGAAGCGCGTACGATAAGTATGTGTGGCGAGGGTGCACCGCTCCTTCTCTAGCGCCCGCCCCTCTGACTATGTTGTTGTGTGCTCTGGCGCATGGTGTCTGCGTGCAAGTGGAGGCGTCGTAGAGTGACCTGTTCATTATAAATGCTCTGGACAGAGCGTGACTGGTCGCCGTATCGACGGACGTATGACACGACACTCGCCAGCCGGCCACACGGCAGCCAATAGGCAGCCCCGCACTCGTCCAGTTTTGGCTTATGCACGGTTGTGCGATTCATGCGAACGGCTCTGGCGGATGTCAGGCACGCGGTTGGCCCTTCCAAGCGATTACTTCAGATATATAGATAAAAAGGTAGATAGATAAGAACCGATACTTAACAACGGATTATCAGTATGTGATGGTCCGCCGGCGCCATGAAAGCACAGGATGTATGATGATTTCATTTGCTCTGTGTCATGACTTATTGTCCCCAGAAAGGGAGAATGCACACGAAAGTCGTTACGCAGCGCAAATGATCTCCAACTTTAGCCAAGTTAGCGACAAAAACATGTGTTCGAAGGCGTCCAGGTAGTGTTCAAGTTGTGCGAAACGCACCATGTGCTTGCCGAAGCTGTTGCTGTTTTGAGAGTTGAAACGGGTCGGGCTCACCGACATACCTCCTGTGTTAAACATGCGGCGCGTTGCGTCATACCCTCTTGATTCATCGGCACACATTTTGCATGAGTCTTTGTTTACGCCAGCGTAATTATGAAAATATTTGCGTTAGCACGAGCACGACGGCAGGGCAGTGCCACCGCGAGCCAGTTTTTCAAAGTAAACAAGAATAAATGTGGAGCTATAGCGTTATGTCTACCTTAGCATTTTCGGCACCTAATCGTATATTCCACTTTTGAAAGCAAACACGTACATAGTATGCTACAAACTACGACACCCGAAAAGCTGACGGTAAATGCACACCTCACAACAAGTATATACACAAGCAACGCTGCTTAAGCTTCTCATAACGTTGCC